CCCCCCCCCAACCCTGGCCCGCGCCGAGACGGGAAGGGCTTCCTGGCAGCCCTGGGGAAGGGGGGCAGTGGCAGGGGGGTTAGATCCCAACATAGCGGCGCTGCCCGCCTTGCCCGACTGGTCAGCCCATCCCTGGGGGTTTCCATCTTTGCTAATGATTAATGACTCGCTGCACACACAGGCAGGGGTGGGGGTGACCTCACCTTCCTGCGCACCGTCCCTCCTGCAGGACACAGGGCTGGGCCTCAGCAGCACCCACCACCAGCCGCTTCATCTACACCTCCTCTACTGACCCTCCCTGCACCTTCTTGCGGTAGGTTAGTCCGCTTATAAATGAAAGGCTGAGGCAGAGTGACATGGCCTGCCCAGGGAGAAAGGGGAGCTGGGATTTGAACCCAGGAATGTGGCCCAGCTCACTCTAAGGTCATGTGTCACACGGATAGGAAGCAGTGGCCACAGGAGGGAGGAGGATCATAGCCGTGGTGTAGTGATACTTGAAATGAATCACAGAACATGGAAAGCTCAGTATTTAAATAAAAGTAAACCTTCAAAGAAAGGCATTGGCGCCCTTGGTGGTACGTGTTCCTCCTAGGACCATGCCCCTGCCGGCTGTCAGCCCCTCCCCAAGGGAAGGCCCTCCCAGCAGCATGCAGGCTGGCCTGACACTCTGGAAGCTAAGTTCTCCCGCTCGGGCTCAGACGAGGGGGGCGCCAGACCGGGAGGCCCGTTCCTGCAGTTCACTGGGTGTCTTCCCGCTCAACCTTTGCACCCACACTGCACACCCCAGCACCCGGCCCCAGCAGGGGCCTGTTTCTGTTCAGAGAAGGGGCTCCCCTGACGGAGTCCCCTCTGCTTTCTCATAGCCATGGCCACATTCTGATGTCAGGGAGGAGGAGGAGGCTGTCTACAGAGCACGGTGATGACACTCCAATGCAGGAAACCGAGTGTCGTTTATTCTAGGGCAAACTCAAAAGGGCTCTTTTATTTTCTCTTTTAGCAAATCCTAGCACATTATTAACAAAAGTCTGTACATTTGCCATGATACACTTGAGAGTGGAACAAAGATATAAATACAGACAGGGATGTAATGTGAAAAAGCGCCCCCAATAGAACCAAAACAAAAAACAGAAGCCCACCTGGGGGTGTGGACCCATGCGCGTGAACAGTGCTGACAAACCATTTTGGTGGCTGATATTTTCAGAGCATTTCTTTTTTCATTTCCAAATATCATTGTTAGCAAAGTCCTGCGGGAGTCTACAAAGTTTTTATTTGCTGTTCTTCGATGTGTATTATGCTTGATAAATAAAGGGTGGCAGGGAAAGAAAAAGGTGAGACAAAAATCTGTTGCATTAGCTGCAGAGGGTGTTGATAAGCGAGTGCTGGGCCCAGAGCGGCCGTGGCTGTGGCCTGGTCCAGGAGCAGTGTCCTCGAGGAGCCACGCGCTTCACCCTCAGCTGCGGGATGCACCGCGGCCTCAGGGTGGCAGCAGCTGGAAGGAAAGCAGGAGCCAGACGATCCGGCCCCAGCGGTGGGGTCAGGTGGGTTTGGGGGCCCTAGACAGACAGGTAAACAGGGGGGCAAACCCAGCGTGGGTGCTTTGCTCTGTGTTGTCTCAGCGGGACGGGAGCCCTGCAGGGCAGCGGCCGGGCAGCTGCGGCTGCCAGGACTCGGGGGACAGGTGCAGCTCCCCGCGAGGTGGCAGCGGCATGCGAGTCCCCTCAGTGCGGGCAGCGGTCTGACCGAGGCTGACACACCTGTGGGCGACTGCACCTCTCTCAGTCAGGGGCTGAAGACTGGGCGGCTGACATTCAAGGCGAGCCCTTTGTGTTTCTATGAGGACATCAGGCAATGTTCAAGATTCTTCTCAAATCCAGGCAGAGGCTGGGGTGACCTCTGAGCCAGAGTTGAAGGAGGAAAGTCTTTCCAAATGCATTAGGCAGAAAACTCAATCCAGCCAGAACCCACGTGTGCACAGCAGAAGAGTGATCAGGACGCTCTGCTCTGCTCTGACTTACTCGCCAAGTGTGAAAAATTCCCGTTAGTGAAATATTAACAAACAGCATTTATCAATGAAAGTACGTCCTGGTCCTGCTAGGTGCTGAGCCAAAAAGAAGCCAGTAATATTCAACCACAGCACTCCCTGGAGTGCGAAGTACCCCCTGCAAGCACACACGCGCGCGTACACACACACACACGTACACACACACACACACACACACACACGTCAAGGCGCCCTGCCTCACTGTTCCTGCACCTTCATTCTCAGTGCCTATTTCCAAATAAAGTATCTAAAATCTGAATGAAAATGGGCTCTGTCTGCTACAGAGTCTTTCCTAACTTCCGACAGCGAAGCTGGAGGGTCAGGGAAGAGAGGAGGGTCTGTGCAGGTCAGAGGTAAGAACATGAAACCTCTGCTCTCACGCCAGCCGCTGAACAGCCTGGTTCTGTGGATCAGCACACGCCTCATTAAAACAAACATCAGAACAGGCATCTTCCTTATGTAAATAAAGATCAGTACAAGCTAGAGGCTCTAAAACACACAACATAGACAACAGAAATCTTCATGATTGCATCAAGAATTTCCATTTGGCTTTAAGAATTTTACTCAAAACTTCTTTCACCAGACTTTAAGTTAATAATTACTTTGAAGCAATCAAACCCTCAGGAAACTTTTTAAAATGGGTGGTTATTCTGGGAATTTCTTACCTAAGGAAACAGATTCTAAAATTGTTCTAAATCCTGTTTTTTAGCCATTTGCCACTCACCATAATTACTTTTTTCCTTAACAATGACTATTTCAACAGATGATCAAGTACTTCAGTCCATAAAATTAGAAACAGTAATTCTAGCCTGGCCAGTGTGGCTCAGTGGTTGAGGGTCGTCCCATGCACCAAGAGGTCACCTGTTCGATTGCCCATCAGGACACACGCCCGGGTTGCAGGCTCAATCCTCAGCAGGGGGCGTGCAGGAGGCAGCCAATCAATGTTGATGCATCGATGTTTACTCTCTCTCTCTTCCTCTCTCTAAAATCAATAAAACATATTTTAAAATAATAATAATTCTGATTGATACCTGGTCTCTCCAGACGTTTCTTTGACCTTAATCCCAAATTAAACAGAGGAGTGAAAACTGAGATGGTACAGTTGGCATTTACCAGATTAAATGAAAACATTTTAGAATTGAGCAGCTTAGATGGAGGAGAGGACAGATGGTGTCACATCAGAATAACCAAGGACCACGGTTGTGAGAAGCCCTGTGAAGAGCGTGTCCCCTCAGATCTTCTGTGCTCTGTGAAATGCCGTGGTGGTGGGAGAGCATCGGGGCAGTACTCGGGGCTGGTGCGTGTCCTGGAGGAGACTGCAAGGATGCCTTTCTAATGCACTATATGAGGGCAGTCGGCCGCCAGTCTAGGTACTAAAAACAAAATTCCAGGTGTTTGTTAGAAGGCCATCTTCAGGTTTTCCTCCATTTCTTGCCAAGATATGATTCCCATTCTTAGTAGGTCTCAAAATACAATTTAAAGACATACAACCAACCCTTGGGTGGTGTCAGCTGTGAGGGGGAGAGGGTAGTCTGCCCCATATGGGCCACATCCAGAACGAAGAACGCAAAAATGAAAGAGAAACACAATCGACACACCCACACCTCTGTCCCCAGCTGAGAAAATGCTACTTCCTGTCAAGTGCTGGCTAGAGGCTCGGGGTCTGAAACTGCGCACACCCAAGGTTCTGACCTCAGCAGGCTGCAGGAGACTCTATGGCTCTTCTGACTCCTTTAGTTTTGTATGAAGACTGCAAACAGGCCTTGCTTCCTTTACATTCAATGCCAGTAAGATTCTACACAAAAGCTGGAAGGGACCAAAATACTGATTGTAATAAATATTGTGGCCTCCTCGCCCTGGCCGGGAGCCTGCGAGGGGGGAAGGTCTCTGAGAGGCATCGCCGGCCATTCTGGGGATCCAGAGACTGGCGCTGCCATTAGCTGTGTGTGGAGACGTCGGAGGAGGAGCTGCTGTTGCTGTTCGTGGTCTGGGCCCTCTTTATATATAAGTTTAGTAGCTTCATCTGCAAAGAAAGGAGACAACGGGGTTAGCAGGGGTGAGGCAATCCAGAAGTAGAAAAGAGGAAAAGCCCAGGTGACAATAAGAAAACAGCATGTCCCTGGAGAAATTCATTATACAAAAATTTACTGTGTACCCCTCACCCCACACACTACCAGGGCCACAGAGACAGGAAGGAGGCCAAGTCTGCAGGAGAGAGCATGCCATAGATTATCACCAAAGGGCTCCCCTGGAGAAGGCACATACATTTCAGGGGTGACTGCAGCCAATGGCTCTGTCTAAGCTTGAGGAAAAGCAGGGCAGAATCCATGCTCCACAGGGAGAAAGCAGCTAAGCCAAGGTGAGTGGTCAAGTCTGTACCCTAGCTGTTCCTTCCACCCCCACTTTGGCAGACTGAAACCCACGGAAGCTCGGGGCATCAGAGACCTATCTTGAAGGCCAACTCCACACGGCGGTTTCCCGTCTGCTCTCTTGGAAGCGCAGCCCTTCCTTTCCACTCCGTGGCACTCTCACCCCTACTGCAACCTGGCACATGCCGCCTCCTGCGGCAGGTAGCAGTGGACTCCTCGCTGCTTTCGGCACGGTCAGACCTCCCTGACACCAGACCCTGTGTCACTAAACAACAGCCCCTCCCATGGGTACGGAGCATTACAATGAGAGGGCTTTCACAGCTGAGTCCTCACCTGCTTTAACAGAAGTCCCCTTGAACCCTCAAGATAAGAAAAAGAACATGCAACACAGCAAGTTCTTAAATACTTACTGAATGCCACTAAGTTATGCCGATAATCTGCCAAATCATATTAAGAATTTACAGCTTTTGCAGAAGCAGATGCCCATGAAAATCTATGTAACACAGAGCTTGTAAGATTAAAGGAATTATGAAATATTTACTACCCACAGCCTTTTACCTGCCTTGCTCTAAACACACTGTGAAGTAAGACAACTGTCAGGCAGCCCAGGGAAGGAAGAGCTGACCTCCAGGGCCCATGAAGAGGTACTTGGGGTGGTGTGTGGTGCGGTGCAAGAGAAGGGCCCTCTGATGACCAGTGGGAACAGGAAGAGTAGCTACAGAGCTCCCAGCAGAGGCGAGCCTCCTGGCCCCAGCCAAGGTGCTCCGTCACGGACACGCAGAGGCTGAACGCCCTGCGGCCAGCATCCTGGAGCAGGCTGCTCGTGTTCACAGTCCGTCTCCGGTGCCTCCCACGCCAGTACCCACAGTGCTGTCTTCCTCTTCTCATCGGCAGCAGACTAGGTCAAGTTAACTCACACTCCCTATCAGTTTACTTTTCATTCCCCACCTTTTAAAATCTTAAAACTTTTAATATGTCAGTGTTACAATGAAAGTGCTATCACTTTACTCAGGATCCGAATGTTCTGAAGCTCAGTGTGACACCTCCGGGGCCAGCCGGGCTCAAGGGAAAGCCTGGGACACTAGACAACGCTGGCCAGAGGCTCCCCAGATTCAGCCAATTCTAGACCCAGCTTCACACTAACTAGCTATATGAGCTCAGGCAAAGCATTTTCTAAGCCTCAAAGCCTCCACCTGCAAAATGAAGAGAGCAACACTGCCAAGGTGCCTTCTGTCGCTCCTTTTTCAGAAAACGTGTCCTCTGAACACCCCTCTCCTATTTCACGCTGTCCTCCTGGTGCCTGCCCCCCCCCCATGCAGCTCACCCCC